CATAGATACTGAATATTAGGTTTTCCTGTAACAAACTTATGACTGGGAAGAATACATGTACAGTATATAATTTATTCCATTCATAAGTGTAATATCAACATTATGGGAAAAAAATAATTAGCAGTATATAAAGTGTACTTTTCTCATCTCATCATAGCTGCTGTAGAGGCCTCAGTAATGATATTGAAGATATTATTGCTCCTCCTTTATTAAGACCTTTAGACTGAGATCATCCAGTATGTCCAATGTAAGGCTGGCAGGTGAGGAAGCTGTATCGGTGGAGTGAAGGGGAGAGGCCGGGCTGGTTGGTGAGAAGAGAGACAGGAGTGGAGGAGGGGGTGGATCTCGGCATTAAAATCATTGCTATTGGCAATTGTTTAGCTTTTTATAAATTTTTTGACAAGGTTTTAAAACAGTCGATATTCTGGTTCATTTTGATGCTTACTTTCATTGGTGGGTCAGAGTCGTAAATCATATCTGTTAAGTTTTTGGCACTCCTGACTCATGTCCTCAATCCTTACACTTAATGCCTTCTCCATACCTTTATCACATATCTGATGTGTAACTTTATCACTGTGTGGTGCACTATGAGCAACACTACTTCTAATTTCCTTACCTTCCATCTTTATGGAATGAACAGTTGACTTGTTAACTTCAAGCACACGGCCGCTATCAAGTTTATCTAACACTTCAATTTTCTGTTTCAGTTATGAATTTCTTCACTTTCTTTGCAACAGATGCACTACGACTAGTAATGGCCTTTGGGAGCCATGACAGTTATAATTAACTTCAGAATTGTTCCCAGATGAGACTGGCGGGCGATGTGAGAGAACTCTCAGACAAGGAAAGAGGGTTGCAGCACAACACCATGACATCACATCATGGCGGATGCCCGCGTTTTTTTAAATAAGCACCTTACCTTTTTTATGTTATTTTAATACATAAAAACCTCTGAGGTAGTTTCGCAGATAGTCCAATTCATGAGAATTGAACTCGCATATGTTGAGGTACTGATGTATGTAACAGTCAACATTTCTGAACTTCCTGGCTATCATGAATTGGTTGAGAGAACTTAGGTCTGTCACTAGTTGATCGTTGATGGAGTCTCGCTAAAGGAAGGTGAAAGGTCTTGAAAGGAAGACTAGGGATGACATTGGTTCTGCCACCCCATCTTCCTCCATTTAGTCTACATTAACTTGTATTGCCTCTGTGACGGCTGTGAAGGGTGGAGAGTGACGAAAGGTGGCAAGCGGCTCCAAGTTCACAAGTCTTCGCTTGACAACCCTTCTGGTCCATGTGACCTACAGCCAGGTCTCTTGCCAGCCAAGCAGCTGCCCCCTGGGAAGCTGGTCACTGCTGTGCCTCTACTTGCGGATTTCTAGCTTGAAAACAGGATGATTGTTGGCCCTGAGCCCCTTGTAGCCACTGGGCTATGCCGTGTGAATGTGGTTGCTATGGCATCTGGTTCGTGGGGCGATGGTGTTGGTAGGGGCCTGTTGTTGAGTCCCTCCTAGCTGTGCAGGGCCGAAAAATGGGCTACCCTTTTTGTCCCATGAGGCACTAGGTTTAACCCTATTTTTCCTCTGCCTTGGGATCGGAAGGTTGAATGTGATGCTCAGTTGCTGGGCAATGGTTGAGATCCAGAGTTGGTCCTAGAGGGTTTACTTGAAGGACCCCCTGCATCGAAGGTTTATGCATGCCGGCATCATTTTTTCCAGGGTCTCCCACACCACCGGTTGAATGGATAGTCTTGTGGACTCTGTCAGTAGGGCTAGGTTGTCTACACAGCCTCTTAAGTCTGCCGGTGGAATACCGTTTTGGAGAAGTTGTCGCAGCCTACAAAGTCATTGTGCCTGATGGAGCTTTACTGCCTGAGCAGAGAGGAGAGCTGAAACCGTGTGGCAGTAGTGATAGTCATCTGCTACATTTTTCTAATTGGGAAACTTGGCCTCCCAGGGGATGTTCTCAGGTTGAACTTTGGGAGCAGAGCAAAAACTGGTTTGGCACTGACACTTACTGCAGATCAGTTACAATAAATAACAAATGCAAAAGATTGTGCCATGGATGTGGGTAAATCTTTGTACGTAGCAGCTCGAACCCACCTGTTGTCTATTCCCTTGCACAATTGGTTTCAGGGATAAGACGGAAGATCTGTTAACTTGATCTCTCTCTTTCCACCTTCAATTGCAGATGACTGTCACCTGGACAGCTGAATCCTCCAAGGAGTGAGACAGCTGCCTTTCGTCTAAAAAAGTAGTAGCCTCCGGAAGCCACCAGTGTGACATGAGGAACCTTTTCCATCTTTGTTTATCCGTCAACTTGACGTACTTAGTGGAGGGCCACTAAAACCCTTTCCATCTCTTGAATCCTCCAGTGGTCAGGAGCCAGTGTCTAAATTATCTGTGCCTTCCATGAACACCCTCTGTCCTTGAGAGGTGTGTGGCAGACGAGTCTGTAGTCATCTCCCGACCAATATGTTCTCTTGTGTGCCAAGGATGGCGGTAAGAACTGAGTCGGTGACATCCAACTCCGTATCAGAAACATCATCCTGAACGTGAAAGGAGCGGCGAGTGAGGTGTCTCCTTTTCCTCCATTGGCTCCTCCTGTTGAATTGAGGGAAAGGAGCCGATTTCCTGGGACACGGTCATTGACCCCTGCAGCTCTGTCAGCTCCTGGTGTAGTTCCTGAACCACAGTGGTGAATTCGTCATCAATGGCCTAATTCTACCAGGAGGTGGACTCCTACATGCCATGTTGCATTACTGACATGACTATGTTCCCGATCACTTGAGTTTTCTTGACACAGATCCACCAGACGCCTCCGTAGCACATGTGACACCGAGGCATGCTCCCAAATCCGGGTCTTTCCACTGTAGTTTCGTGTTATTTTCCTTCTGATTTACTTGACGTGGTCCACCTATTTTTTAGGAGGATCTTTCTTGTTAATATGTGAGCGTGTTTGATACATGGCGTAAAACACACCCTCCTTAGATCAGGGTGCATGTGACGAGCAGAATTTATGACCATCCTCATTAAATTTTGCTGAGCATCAGGCTGATTAGCATGTGGCCCCAGACAACAGGGATGGTGAATGCAGTCAGGATGTCTTATCTAAGTAGAAGGGATCCACCGGGGATCGTTACCTGGCTGCTAGAACCCTGGACAGCACTACATTGTTTGCAGTGCAATCCCCCAGGTCGGGACCCCTATCCAAGTGGTCCTCCCTTTTCATGTCCAAATTATCTAGACACGAACCAATAAAAGGACGACAACATCTGATGAACACTCAGTGCAGTAGGAACTCCCATGAGGTTCATCATTTGGTGGCATGCATCCTAGTGGGTGAAGCCAGAGCTAATCCCCCAAAAAAAAAAGGAACTGCTCAACTGACCATGGTAGCCTGTATTGCTTATCTCCATTTTCATGCCTCAACTAAATGACAGAATGCCTGATGACCACCTGGGGGCCCTAGTAGAACACAACAGGAAATGGGACCTTCCGCAGGGGGCGTCAGCTAACCAATTGCCACTGGGAGAATCGCAACCGAAAGCAGAATGAACTTGCTTGGTGTGGTTCCAAGAAGCAGGCAGTCAGAGCTCTAAACCAGAATTACTCATCCCCATTTTTATGCTTTGACTAATGCGACAAGGCAAGTGTGGGGTATGTGGCAGAATGTCCAATAACCTCCCATGGCCCCAAAACACCACAGGAGATGGGGCCTCCTGCAGGAATCACCAAATAGCCAAATGCAACCAAAGCAGAAATGAACCTCCATAGCTTGGCAACAAGAAGCAGGTCAACTGGAGCTCTACACCAGCAATGAAATGACCCTGCTGGAAACAAGCAACTGGTACACAAACCTAACCAGTTGGGTCCCCAACCTCTGGACCTAAAGGCTGAGACTGGAGAAGAACAAACACAAAATTAAAGCCAATTATAGGAAAGGAAGCACAAAGGGCTAATCAGCAAGGGCCCCAGTACTGAAGATTGCAGAGGCAATTGATTCCATCCTTAATAAAAGGTCCTATTTAAGGAATGAGGAATCTCCAGAAATCCTGTTATTCCCAGGCAAATACACTCGCCAGAAAAAAACGTTTAGAACTAGCGAAGTGAAGAAAAAACTTCACGAAGCATACATCAGGGAAAACACCTCTGCACCCCACAAGAGCTGGAAAGCAAATGATGGATGGATCAGGCCTGACTGTTCACTCGTCAGGTGTTGGAAACAACGGAATGAGGGATGACCGATGCAGTTTCTAGAGTAGGTTTTTAGTTATTTTTCTAATTATGTCTTTCAGCAAGGAAGCTTAGTGTAGCCTATTCTTGCTTTAGCAAGTACAGTTGTCATAGGGTTCCCAATTCTCCTCCTAGGAGGGGGTTTAGGGACCTCAAAGTGCAGGTACACTAACATATTTCCCGAGTTTTATTTAACCCCTTAACCCTGATACATCATCACTTTTCTTTGCGCTGTTTCCAGAATGAGTTTGACAAAATTACCTATATCCCCCCCTCACCAATTCCTCGGTAGTCTAGTGGCGAGTATCCCCGCCTGTCAAGCTGGAGACCGGGACTGGATTCCCCGCCGGGAAGTTTAGTTTGTCTCGACCTGTGGTGTAATGGTCAGCATGCTCGCCTCACAAGCGAGCAGACCCAGGTTCGATCCCCAGGCAGGGTGAAACTATGGAGCAAGTTTCTTTATGCCATATGCCTCTGTCTACCCAACAGTAATTGGGAACCTGGATGTTAATTGATTTGTGGTTCCTCAGAGGTGGTGATGCTCAGTATGAAAGTCAGCCCTTTCTAATAATACCAACAGATTACTGTACCTGTATTGTAATGTTTATAGAGGGGGACCATTTTAGGGCCCTCCCTGGGCTAAACACCAGGACATGGAGGAAGAAGGTAGGGAGGAGTACATTGAGTCTCAAGCAGATGACCACCACCTAAGCCCATTATGGTATATGATTAAAAAAAAAATGTCAAACATGCAAACTATAAAAAGATGGATATAAAATTTTTTATTAAAAACAAAATATTTTATTAATTCTGTACAAATGCTGTGGATTGTTAGCAGTGATTTATCCTCATAGAGAAAATTTATTTTTGCTGTTAAATCAATAATACAGTACTTATTTGAATATGGTTTACAATTTAAGATTGAAACTTAGCAACATGATTGACTTAGTCTAAAATGCTCTTCTGTGATTGGTCTGCATCTTTTTCTTACTTTTAACAACACCCAATAAATAATTAAGAATACCTTAATGTTACTCTGCCCTAGGAGGATTTAAATATATTGCATTTCATGTTAATACTGTAGTAAATAATTGAAAATTTTTTTTTTACAATGTTAATATGATCACAAGTACTAGTCTGCAGCAATGGCTATTCTTTAGTCATGTTACTTTATGGTGTAAGATAAAAAGACCCTAGGTGTGGTAGGCATATATATTGTATTACAAGATTTAAAAAATTGTATTCAAACAAATTATTTTTTATATTTTGTCTATTTATATTTTGAGTTAGGACAAAGGCAGAATCAATAACAATTTAAGTAAGACCCATTCAGGTGTATAGATTATGTGATAACATAGCAAAAGATAATATGTACAGTGACTTGAGATCAACACACATTAACTTGAAGAAATGAGTGCCAATTATTGCAATATCTTACTTTACACCACAAAACTTGTAATAAAAAAGTATGGATTGAACATAAAACTATTATAGAAAATAATGTATTAAGTAAAATAAATAACTAGTAATACCTTTCATTCATAATGAACTAGAAAAGTATAAAGTATAACTGAGATTGATCCAAAAACTGGGTATTGCCAAGATAGATTTTCTGTGCTTCAAGATAATGGAATTTGACTGATGTACTGTACAGACTTCTAGTGAGAGTAATACTACAGTATGTAAAGTCAATGTAGTACAGTACAGGTAGTTATTTCAACAATAGGAACTTAACTGTATAAAGATCATGAAAGTTAAGCACAAATAAAGATATACTGCTTTAGGAAAGAATTTATCAGTGCTCTCAATATATCCTGCAGTGTAGCCTGTTGCACATAATCCTCAAAACTCGTATGAACAAACAAATCCTATTACCTCCACAACCCAAAAGGGAGAATCATTGGAGTAAAAATCTCATTTTTATATTATATTTGTTATTCATTCTTTGTTATATATAAAAATTATTTCATATATCATTCATTATTTAATCATGAAAATATACAAATATATTGGAAATCAAAATACAGCTCAGGAAACCTATCACTTTTTCCCAGTACAATAAACACGACTAGTTTGCATCTTTTCCCACCCCACTAAAAAATCCCTCCCCATCTATTAAATATATGTTCCCCACATAACTCCCACCCCATCCTGGCTGCACAGAGCTAATGATCAGTAATGTTGTGCCTGGATTGAGACTCCGAATCACGACTGGGATTATACCTTGTATAAAATTAAAACAATTACTTCTGCATCTCATGTATACTGTACCTTGCATTCCATACACTCGCCCACGTACTAAATCCATTACTTTGCAAACTTTGTTTAGCTTAAAAAATGCTAAACAAAAAAAGAATACAATTGCAGAGATATGTTTCCTTAATTATTTTCTGACTGGCATTATCTGATACAGAAACACTGAATAAGAAATACATTTAAAACCTTCCTAACCATTCAAGCAAAGGAAGTAGCTGTATATCAAAATATGGACACAGTTACTACCCAGTCATACTATCAGAAACCTGACTTCTAACACAAACTTCACATATTTCCATGTCCTTTTATAAAAAAAATCACATTTAAAATTTCCAAGTCAACATTATGCTTCCCAGAAAAGCAACTAACAAGTACCATAATGAAAATGATAAATATGTATGTATGTATGAATGTGAGGATACCTCAAAGTGTCCTTTTAAGTGAATGTGAACAAGTGTGGAGCCCATTGTATGATTATGAATGCATAAAAGAACTAACCCTCTCACAGCCATAAAACAGCATCTAAAAAATGTGCAGTATGAGTGATATCATCTCTATTTCTTTACCTTACCAATGATACTAAACACAAAAGATGAAATACTTTTGCTGGATTAAATGTGATAAAGTTGATTCACAACCAAAAAATGAATAACCATACTAAACCGATTACTACCTTCTGATGATACCAGATGATCATAAACTACTTCTCACCCTTTGACCAGACATGCGAGAGAGAAAATTCAACTCCATATGAATATAAGAACTTCCATAAACCACCTCAGCATTTTCATATTTAAACATCTATATTTATGTTGCAATAATATATCTCGTCTAAATTCACTGTTCATTACCACAATCCCCTGAAAATTGTCAACTAAATATATATCAATAAAAGTAAGATATGTGAACCATAAGTAAAAGTACTGTATTGTAAAACCCCCCCAAAAAAAAATGAAATAAAGCCATTATTCTTTTATAAAGGCATATTTTTTGCTCCCATAGTAGTTATTCACAAAATAAATGTAGGGATTGGATCACATATTGAATATTGTCTTGATTAATGTCATTCACCATCTGCTCAGTCTACTTCTATCTTTCCTTAAAACTCATAATAAATACTGTACAGGAAGCACCTTTACTGATTAATATAAAATTACAACTGAGAATTACATAACACTTTTCAAAGCAGTACTTAGAAATGTTGACTATGGTTTAACAGACTCTGTGGTTAAAGACATTAAATGAGAAAAGCTGAGGCAGCTACGGGTAGTGAAATTTGGTAATGATTGTAACACAGGGGACTCTTCTCTTCATCAGCACCAGGTCCTTGATGACCACAATGATCATGCAAATTTTGAACATCATAGATTATTCTATAATATACTGGACATCGACTGGCTGCTATTACTACTGTATGTCTATTAAATATAAATATGCTGTACCAGGATGTGCACAAACACATGCATTTTGTGCAGCATGAACCGAGCAGTGATTTCATAATCACTTATATCCAACAAAACTAAAATTTCAAACTGCTTTGAATGAATGAATTTTGAAGTATGCCGGGTAAGAGGCCCTGGGAGTGTGAGCGAGTCCCCTGCAGAGTATCACAGCAGCAGGTAGTGATTTACATGAAGGCGATCCTAAATATAAGCATGAGCAGGGCCGAGATGCCAGCAGTTAAGGGTACTGTGACCACCCATGCTATCACGATGTTCCTGTAGTGGAAAGAAATTTAATGAGGACTTTTCAGAGATCGCTGAAAGCATATGAATCAATCACACTGGTATATGATTAATTAAACTTCTAAAAGCTATGTAATACTGTTCTTACCCAATTGTAAACTTTTATGATGATTTTACTGAATATTATTTTCCTTAATGATAGACAAAAGAGAAAAATGCAGTAATTCCTTTCCCTGTATCATTATTAAATCATGTAAGACTAACTATATACAATAAAGAAAGAAAAAATGTTCTCTTCTTACCTGAAGAGTTTCCAGTCAACACCCTGACGAGAAGACTTGGCCCAACCAACGAAGACAACAGACCCAACCTTGCAATGGGTAGTGGAGATGGGGAGACCAATCTTTGAGGCTAACAACACGGTGAATGCAGAACCAATTTCAATGGTGAATCCAGAAGATGGTGTCACTTTGGTCAAATCTTCACCAATTGTCTGGATAACACGGCGACCCCATACCCATAGACCCACTGAGATACCCAACTGTAAATTAAATTTCATTACTAACAATTTCTGTATATTACTGTATTTCTTTAGCTAAGCAGTGCAATACTCTTAAACTTGATAATGTTTATTAAAGTAACTCAATAATGTAGTTGAATAGTAACTGCATCAGTTGTCATGTCCAAGTGATTTAAATTGACCAACATTAACTGATAAAAAATTTGATTACAAGTATATCAAATTTAGTTCAAAGGATACACTGAAACATTAGGAGATACTTACCCCACCATACAACAGGATGTAGATGGGTGTGGGAGAATTCTGGGCAACAGAACCCTCGGTGTAAATGGCCCACAAAGCAATCAGAGGACCAATTGCATTGCTAACATCATTTCCACCATGAGCAAAAGAGCCAAATGTAGCAGTAAGAATCTGGAGGAAGGAGAAGAGACCTTTCACCTCAGGTCGGTCAGAGTCAACCTCCTTCTTGTTAGTGAGTTCCTCCATCGAGATCACTTTCATTTGGTTGGTGTTCACAAGGGGCACTTGACTGCTGTTATTGGTAACACCTGGCACAAAGAAAAAATAAATCAGTATATCTGGAGTGTAATGAAAAAGCATTCAAATGAAAATTTTCACTGAACCACTTTTAGGTATGTTTATCAGCAGAGACAAATCTATAACCATATCAGAGACTAACATGTATAAATACCAGATCAATGAGCTAAAAGCTAAATCACATCCTAAGTGCCATTTCCCATATTTGTTGGTGTTGCAACTCTCAGGGAAGAAGGGCCACTGATATGGCAAATGGGCTGCTCAGCACACACCACAGTAAATAATGCCTTAAACAGCCTAGGCATAGGACTGATCTTGAGCCTCTTATATTTGGAGTCCAGACCTCCGCCCAGTGCCCTTCAACATTAGAATGCATTCTATACACAAATATACTGTACAGTACAGTACATTTACTAAAATCTATTAGTTTACTGTTTTCTAAGGTAACAGGAAGCTTTATTTGAAAATGCAAAAAATGAGGTTTATTTCCTTACTAAGAGATTGTGATGTGGTATCGAGGCCAGAACCGAGAAGATTGGTCTTAGTCTCTGCAGGGATATAGCCATTGCAGTCTGAGTTACCATTGAAGGTGTAGGTGGTGGGGGAGATACCCTTTTCAATGACAGAAAGTTCTCGGCTTGGGGGTGAGGGAGAACGTGAGTTGTCTGTAAAAGAAAAGAACAATTTTAAATATATAATAAATGTAAACAGTACATTAGTTCATCCAATTTTTTTCATTATTGAATAAAAAATAAATTTTTGGTAAATGTAAACAGTACTGTATAATGCCGCTGCAGAAGTGAAACCTTTCTTAATCTGCAGTAATAAATATGTAATGGCAGACAAAATAGGTCGCAATATTATTAAGAAAAGGGTGCCACAATACAATACAGGTGTAATGTATTTACAACCTGTATGATAAGAGATGGGTCTTACTGCAGGGTAGGTTGGGCAAGTTGTTATTTGTTATGATGTACAGTGCACAACATTGGTCATTTCGTCATATTCACTCCTTCACAGTGACACACGCATATGCAACAATACCCACATAACGTATTCATTGTTTTCTTTTCTTTTAATGGTACTTTTATAATATATAAAATTAAAGAGGATCTTCATTCTAAATTTAAACAATATTGAACATTTTCAGGTATCTAATACTATTCCTAAATAAGTACAGTAATATTGATTTTTTTTAAATGTATTGCATAACAAAGAATAAGTAAAAATATGTGATCATAAAAAAAAAAAATCACAGGTCTGTACAAACTTCCCCCTCTAAATATATATATTACTGTATTTAATACACCTGTCCATTACCAATAGTGATGGTTAAAATTAAAAGTCTTCGATTTTAGTTGCATATTCCTCCTAACTATTGTCATCAATTAGCTCTAGCAATAAACCATTAAAATATAAAAAAGCAAAAAAAAATACTGTACTAATTATAATACAAGATGAATGCCAGGCAAAGGAGACAGAGAGGTGGAGACAAAAGATAAGTTCTACCGTTACAACAAAGATGAATACGTATCACAAAGTGCCTCTCTAACCTTAGCAAGTAAAGTTGAAATCTGAAGGAAAATTAAGAGATAAAATGCAGCACTGTTATGTGGATATTTTTGACATACAGTGATAAGTGTGAGAAGACCAAGTTATGGCCTGTGACCAAGTGACTGATGCCATCCAACAGCAATGGAAGATGGTATAAAAAAATATTTGGCAAAGATTGGTGCATGATGAAAACCCTGTACAGTATAGGTATATTCATAAATGTCTATACAATACAGTACAGGTGTTAATATCATGAGGGTTGTACAAAACATTATTAATATACAAAGGTTATGAAATGTTCCCTTAAATGATTTGCTGGATAATACATGACCATAGTTATTTGTTACAGAATAATTAAAGGGATATTTTCTTGGCGTATGTTGATAATTAAAAGTACATTAAGTACTTAACCAAATCTTTGGTTATATTATGGCATCCAATTTAAATGAATAATGTCATGTCATACTGTACTGATGTTTGGTCATCGTAGGAGCATAAAGTAGTATGCAAGCTTCTTTATTCAGCAATCAATTCAAGTGAAATGTACTGGGTATCTGTTGATGGAAGCACCAAAAAGTGCAATACTGTACTCTTATGTGCCAATTCATATTTCCCTTTTCTAAACCAATATTTAAACTTTATGAACAAACAGGAATATAAGGGCATGATGTTAGGTTTTAGTTGAGCAGTTTCAGTAGTTGCTCATGGAATCACTTTGCTGGATGAGGTAAAGAAGGCTCCCTTTCTCATAATCAATATTCTATTTAAACTGCTAAAGCACTTGTTCTGCAAATCTCTCCTTAACTCCACAATGTTCCTCCAAAGCAGTTTTTTCCCCCCACTTTACTGGTCTCCCTTATTTTACTTTTTCCTTTTAAGTACAGTATGCTAACCAGTGCTGTCTTCATCTTTTTTTAAGTGTTTCTCCAGGCAAGAAACTAGTGAATGCTTCACCCCAGTGATAGAGAGACCACCCAAATAAAAAAATAAAAATAAAAATTTCCAGGGGTTGTTAAGAGTCCTTACAAAATTTGGAGATAATTGATTATGATGTAAAGGATGCTATAGGTAACTGTCTCCTCTGCCCCAGAGAAAAAAAGATGTTAAGAGATATAGATAGATGACAATTTTCAATACCCATATTAACTCGATGAACACTTTAATAATATTACCAGAAGGATTAAACTATTGATATCCAGCACTAAGGTTCAAATTCAGTTTAGTAATTATTATGCATGAATATGTAAACACAGTAAACAGGTTACACAAAATTGTCTAATGCAAAACTCAGGCAACTGAAAATGCAGAATCTTGTACTGGCTTCTTGACTTGGTATGACATCTGATTAAAAAAGCAAACGATGTTAAATGATAAAAGTTTCTAGCAAGATTATGCTAGATACACTGTGCTACTCTGTATCTACTAAATATAAATGCTGTAATTTGCTCTCAGATGCCCAAGTGCATAAAAGACTCGAGGATATAAAACTGGATGTTGATAACGAGCTTTGGTCAAGAACTGAAATACTGTCAGACAGTACTGGAATTTTTCAGTTACCTTTATCATATAAAAGTTCGACCATTTCTAAGTGATCTGAAAGAATATTCAATGAATTCATAATTAGCACAGATAATTAGTTCTTAAAATATTAATGTTAAAGCCAAGTGAAGTTGGGAATATGTGCTGAAGTCCACATATGTGATTGTATATTTATATGGCACCTATCAAGGCATTCATATAGGTTCATACAATGAATATTCCTTTTTTGAGAGTACTGTATATAAAGGAATTCATCTAAAAGGCTGACTTAAGCTGAATTATAAAAGTAAAGAATGTATATCTTTCCATTAACTGGAATGTACTTGTTCTGACAGTTCAGGATTGCCATATCAATTGATGTTTTGTTATGCAACTTCAAGTAATAATTTAATTTCTGTACAACATTAATTTTCACAATGACAAAAGTTAACTAGACTAGAATACATACTGAACTGTGTTTCAGCCAAGAAAGTGAAAATTGTTCACGGAACAAAATAAAAAAACCTTTTCCAGTGATGATGTATTTAGTGACAATATACCATTTCATCTATTAAGTACCATCTATGATGATAGGTTAAAAGGACTAGCACCTCAGCTTGAGTCCAAACATCTGCCATTAAAAGGATGTTGGGTATATGGAGTGGACCACAAGCTAGATATTTGACGAAATTAAAGAATAATTAAAGGTATGTACTATACTGTACAAAAATTTCTATATGGGTCTAGCCAAAACACTCTCTTCCTCAATGGTTTACTAGTTACTTTTATTTGAAATTATAAGTAAAACTTTAGGAGGTCTAATTTGGAGGAAGACACCTCTATACTTCAGCATCTCATAGGTACTCTTTATAAATGCCATGTACAGATTTTTACTAAGAACAGTATACAGTATTCAGGAAGAGTTCTGTGCCGCACTTACACTATAAAGTTTGGGAAATGTTTAGGCAGTTTTTGAAATACAGTACTGAGTGCCTACTACATTTTCAATCCAAGGTACACACTGTTAAACTGATATGCAGAGCAAGTTCCAATTACAACTATAATATCCATTTACAATAAAAATAGATGATAGGTATTGATCCAAAAAGCTGGTTAAAGCAACTGCATATGTTCTTAAAGTAAAAATCCAAGAATAGTACTGAAGAAAGATTTGTTCATAAATACTGGTACTGTACAGGAATAACACTCACCAGAAGAGTCGAAGGTAAACTTGACTTCATTCTCTTGCTTCGTGGCTTCTTTGGCAAGTACAGCTGTGTGGGAGTGGGGGGAACATCAGTCAGTCACAAGATGGTTGGTTTGTTTAAAAATATCTACGTGATATTATCTTAATAGAATGTGTTATATTGTATTGAACATTTTTCTGACACCCTAATAACCCACGCCCAGGAAGCACTGAAGTTTGCTTGTGTGAATTTTTTTTCCTGAAAACTACCATATAAGGATACCCACACATCAAATACTGAAGATTACTTTAGGTTCACAGAACAGTACATTGTTTAAATACAGTATAATGTTGGTCTTACTGGATTTAAAAAATAATATCTACAGGGAGCTAATATTTAATATTATACATATTGAAAAACAAGGAATTCAATAAGTTATGAGAAAATTACTTAAGTGAACTTAAATAAGCTTTCGTCATCCCAAATTCAAAATACAAATGCAGTGTAAGACAAAATTACACATCATATTTACTAGTCACTAAAGCACAGACCCTACACCCAAATCTGTATTCAGCAGAAGGGTAACATGATGGAAACTCACCGTGAATGGATTTACGCTGGCGTGGGACGACTATTAGCTGGACAATGAGAGCAACGATGAAACCCACACCAACTGAGATCACGATGGAACCCCACCAGGGGATCAAGTCGAACTTCAGCACTAAAAAAAAAAAAAAATATATAGCAACAGGAACACATATACTGTACTGTACATTGTATGAAGTCACAAATGTAATCATAAAAAACAACTAAAATACTTGAGTTGGTTGCGGTGATATGCACAATCTATGACTATTAATGTACGAGGTGAATAAGTATACTGTACTTACTCTTTGGTCCGTCATGAACAATGGAGAAGACGTTAACGAGAAGTGTAAAGCCGTAAATGAAGGGTAGAGCACGGAGACCTGGCTCAAGGGGTTTTTCCTTCTTCAAGATAAAGTGATTCAGCCCAAGGTATATGACCCCAGACATGATGCCGGAGAGAACAGGGGACACAAACCATGATCCAACTGCAAGACGAGTAAATAGGTCAAATTCATGTCATTGGCTTTTGAGAAATTATCATTACAGTACAGACAAATATGAATAGCTAAATTAGGTGTACTGAGAGCCTCAGTCTATTCTGAATATCCAAGGACAAAGAATATTTCTTATGTAACTTAATGAAAACAGTGAACAGAGAAGCATTCATATTTGGTTACATGGCTATGGAACAAGTAAAAAGTAAAAAAAATAAGTACTGTATAGATTGCATTAAAAAGTAACCACACAGTATTAGATGTCAACGTGTGGTACAGTTGCTGAATTGTGTTCCTACAACCCTAGTGGTAACCCAACGGCACCGTCGCAGTTGTAGTACAGAGGTAGGCCCTATCACTATGTACAGATAGTCAGATTTTACTGTCAATGTACAAACGTCAAAAATGTGGATGGTTACCACCACCAATCCTACAATAGCCCGAGGCAGTCGTTTCTTAGTCTTCCCTAGGGGAACAAAAAATGGTAACAAGTCATTTGCAAAACAGTGACACTCGGCACATGGCGAAAGTGATACTGACGCTCTCCTGTTTCACTAATTTAGTGGACAGTAGGAGTACAGTTAACATTTACTTCGTAAAAAAAAAAAAAGACTGGTCGAATTACCATATACATATCTCCATTAAAATACCAATGTTCGAGAACTTCGAGGTGGACGAAAGTACGATTCGTAGTTTCAATTTCACAGCATCAGGCAATACCTCCGGCACAAGGAGGTAAACTGCCGTTCCTGTTTTTAATTCTTATTCAACAATTCCTCAGCACTAATGCTGACGACCTTGAGAACTATTTTTAGCACGACATGCATTGCTTATAATATTAGTGACTACTATATAGCGACGTGGGTAACCTTCAGGCTTTCTATAGCAGAGTTTAGTCATTAGCAAGTTTCAAAATGCACAAGTATATTTGTTAATTATATAATATAAACCCAATCAATCAGGCCTATAAACCTTCTTACAACATAGCTAAAGTTTCATTTCGTCCTCAAATTATGGTCTGTAATTGAGTGTGGCTCCCAGATATTACAAATCTGATCGGGTAGTCACGGGAGGCAATGCAATTACCATGTGAACATTGATAGTAACTGACCGCCAGGCGTACCAACCCCAAGTTGTTGCCAGAAACTTAATTTACCCTATTATAAGAGCTTTATATTGATATAGGCTTGGTATATTCTTGACGAGTACCTTAACATAATCGGTTCGTGATACAACCAGATATGGTAGATACTGTACTAGGCCCGGAGGCGAAGCATGGTTAGGGCAAGGCTATAAGAGTCGAAAAAAAGGAAAGCTGGGATCCTTCAGTGGCAGAGTTCCAACGCGTGATAATCGTGTTGATATACAATGAAGACAAAAATCCCTGCAGGTGGTGTTTATTTGACCCCTCACTGTTGTTTGCGAGTTGTACACTCTGGATCATTTGGGTATTAAAGGTTCATAGTGTATGGCTGGACGCCCCCGCGCACCACCCAAAATAGGGAGAACCGGTGGGAACCAGTTCGTGAGAGGGTGTGCCAGGCAGCCTGCTACCCTCACTATTCACACCAAACAACTCGTAACCTTCATTAGGGGAAATCAAATTTTTTTTTTTTTTAAAGGGAATCAACAATACCCAAATAGGACAAATCTTAGTAAGAACGCCACAGACGTTCAAGAACACCCGTAATGTATTTCATACTAGTTAGGTATTGCCAACTTTCGCCCTTGTAATAAATTCAACCTTTTCTATCAATAATCGATACAAAGCTATGTTATATTCAACACACTTTCTTCCCGGGCAGATTTCATCCGGGGGGAACGTGGTAGCTTTGCTCCAGAAACCGATATCATTTAGGGCTCTTTAACTGCATACTGAAATTCAATAAATATTATTCTCTGGTTGAGACACGCTGTGAATGTAACTCGCCCGATTGGATATGCCATGATAAAACGACATTATTGGTCCCGCAGGTGTGGAAGATTGACACCCCTTGGTCCATTTTTCCCCACCAATTGAAATTTATAAAAAAAGAGTTTGAACTAGGAGAAACTGGCAACATCACATTGCCACTAATACCTTGTGGTCACTGGCAAAAATTAGACAATGCAATGAAGGATAATTGTAATTTTAAAGAATTCTAGAGCCTACCATTATAACGTGTATGTATATATATATATATATATATATATATATATATATATATATATATATATATATATATATATATATATATATATATATATATATATATATTATAAAGTACTTACAAAATTACTTACCAATCTTGCCGAAGGTGACCCAATTTACGCCCTGGAACCCGCGTGCACACAGAGAGAAGCCCACGGTGGCGCCAACGATGGTGTGGGTGCCAGAGATGGGAAGCTTGAAGAAGGTAGCCACCAGGTTCCATATGGAACTACCGCCTGAATCACAAACACGTAAACTTCTTAATTTATATAAATATATATGGCACATTATGTGCCGCACATAAAGAATAATTGCTTAGAACAAATAACAAATGATTGAAAGTGCCGAAAGGATTGCAAGAACTCACCAAGTGCCGCCAGAGAGCCCAACATGAGCTCCTTCTCCGTGTTGTTGTAGAGAGAGACATCGAGGATACCTTTACGAACCGTATCCGACACTTTGTATCCTGCAATAAATAAACACAATATTTAATGCACCGAGCCATACCCAGAGCTTACACCTATGATTACATGTACAGTATTCACTAATAAATGGTGCCTCTTGATTCATACATTAACACCAGACAATATACATGAATAAATCTTTGAGCAAAGGAAAAACGTACATCAGAAATACAGAATTATTAAAAACCGAAATAAAGTGGTAATGCTGTACTTGGTAACACGACACTGAACTACTGAAACTGTAAGGTAGCAAAGCGAGCCAAACGAACATATTCAGTTCCACCGTCTGTTTGGTCGACCAAATCAAGTTGAACGTAACCGTACTGGAGGATGATTTTTCTTCGATATCCTTAAGGCATACAGGGCCTAGTGGGTTCATCTCCTGGCATATATATTTAATCAAAGAGCTACTTGGAAATCTTTCTCAACAAGGTTCGTCTCTAGTGCTGACTGGTTACTGCTGGTGAACTACTTAATCAATCTTTCCTACGTGGCCCGGGACCTTCTGAGCTCTGCACCTTTTGGCAATGGGTCCAACTAAGATTTTTTACATTAAAGCGACCTCAGCTGAATGACTAGTTTTGTGAGCTATCACTCTCAAATGTCCATCACTCTACTGTACAAGTACTACGTCACAGGACTGTCTAGTGAGATAAAGAACTTAACCCAGATGATAATGGAATAATATTTGTTTGTAATTATTGTGATAAGTACTTGTTCAGGGTCTATACAATACGCCGCTCTCACTCACCTCGCCTTTATTATATCGCATCTTTAAGTACAGTATACTATACATTTTGTTTGTTTCTAATGTTAGTAGTGAGTGTGAAAGTAAACTTTTGTTTACAACCGTCAAATGAGGCAATGTTACATACGAATCAGATATGAAATCGTATAATTAATAATTAAGTCCACTGTATTACCAGTTAGGTGAGAGGTGAGTACGAGTAAATGAAATTTAACACAGGTAAGAGGAGCTGCCATACTGATGGTCCTCCACTTCCTCCCAGGCTGCCTCAACCCACCGTCGTTGCCACTCGACAACAACCCGACCTGTGGCGCCAGCTATGATCCAACCTTGGCATCTTATTATTCTGCACAGAGCTAGATTGCCAAGGCCTAGTCGTCCAGAACAAACTAACACTAGACCGCCTTGACAGTGAGAGCTAGTCGAGGCGCCACCGATCAGGTGCACCGGTCACACTCGCCTAAATAAGCAACACGTATGATTCCTAATTGTAATTTCCCAAACTGGCGACCTATAAATTTAAGTGGCTGTATATGTTACCCATACATGTAAGGTAATGGATAAGTGGAAAGTGTTAACTGGAGAGGTACGGTGAGAGCTTCTCCCCCACCCTTCCTGTCATCTGCTCCACGTTCCTAACACTAACTTTCATCTCAATGTGTGAGGGTCAACACGGCTGGCTGTCTAGTACTGTACATGGCAGCGATACACACTACATCATGTCCTTCATTAGTTACGCCATGAGATGGATCACTAGTTTACATGAGAAGTAATTTACTGCGAGCTTTCCCCTCATAGGTTTTCGCTTGACTTTTCCCAGTTACTATATGTTACATCACTAACAAACTCACAATGTCTATACGTAGCTAGACAAGACCAACGGAGCCTGAGGAGGGCAAAGTGGATCCCTGGAATTAACGCTGAGGGGAAGTGGGGTGAAATTGGCAAGAGGTGTAAGCGTAAGTGGTCGCCAGGCGATGGGGGTGTGGCTGGCCGGGTATAGGGGTGTGCGGGTGTGTGGCTGGCAGGGGAAGGAGAAGTGAAGGTGTGCTTGGTGAATGTGTGGGTGTGGCAGGGTGTGAAAGGGACATGGTGTGGGGGTGGCAGGGTGTGTGGATGTGGAGGTGGCTGTACCTCAAACTAACCCCTCTTACCGCACCATCGTCGCTTATTAATCTGGGTTAGACACATTTCTTCACCGTCTAATCCACAGAGGAACTGAGCATCTAAAGTGTTAAGACAATAATTAAAAGAGGCATCATCATTCACTTAACACGAGATGTGGGGAAAGGGGGAGCAAAATATAGATTAAAGGCACTGAAAAAAGTACAGTATTGTCGTACTCACTGTTGAGTGATGCGCTTCACGGCTAAGCACCAGTCACTTATTATAATTATAAACTAAGGGCAGCAAGCGCCTCCTCCCACCAAGGACACGAGGAACACGAAGGTCATGTAGCAGCCACTCAAAGGTCAGGTAACGTTATATCGTCCGAAGCAAGATATTTGATAAGGCAAGAAATGTATTGTGAGTGCCCCGCAGACACGACAGTTAGCATCCAGCGTGCTGGCAAAAGCTGCTTCAAGGTCTGTACTGACCAAACTATGTAGTAGACGAGTTTTGGTGGCAGGAAGCACGGTAGTGAGCGGCGGGCTCAAGGTCGGAAGTTGTTCAGGTAGGGGCCTGACCGAGACGCACCCAGTGCCTCCCCGCATACCACCCAAGGTTAACCTTACATCCAAAACTAGTTTAAAAAATATGAAAGCGATCATTGTTGAGACAAATATAAACCGCTACACACTATATGTGAGTACTGTATAGGTAATCTAGATAAAACTGGCCGTCCCTGGAGGTGAGTGTGCCAGTGGTTGTCAGCTGAGGACCAAGGCTGGGACAAGGTGAGCTGCTGAGTCTCATGGCCAATACACCGCCTCTACATTTCGGTAAAAAGTAGTATTTAGAGCGGTACGGCTTGTAACCTATTAACATCATTCTACAAGGTCAGTTACATTGATCTTTACTTTAATTGGAACATCATTTAAAGAAGATTTAACTTTCACGACTGTCGCGAAGAGGAATCTGAGCTAATTTGAACGTAACTGAATGAGCTTTTAAAACCAATATGATAAAAGTTCATATTGTAATATTACAAAATTTCCCATGCCAGAACTTCCCCAGATAAAGGCCGACGTTACCGAGCCAAAGTGTACTTCATCTACTGTACCTCCTTTCGATTGATTTTTAATGCAAGGAAAACTTTAAATTTGGTTTTCTCTACCCAATGCAACCTTGTGATACCTGCCACATGTAGTCTTTACATTCTACCGTTTAGACTTTAGACAGTTGGAAAATAAAGTTTAGAGAGACTAATATTTTCTACAAATTCAAAGTCTATAATAAGTTTAATATCTAAAACAGAGTGATGATAATATCTCCAATACAGTACAGTACTACTAATTATTATATACGTTGGCGTACACCCTCATCGAGTCTGGTAAACATGCCATAATAGCTTCAAATTGTTGGGGCTTTTTAAAAATAAACAAAAATTATAATTTTTCTCTCGTCTCCCAAAGGAACAAAAACGTGGACTTGTTACCAAGAATTATATTACTGGCGGAAAATTTAGGAAATTTAAGGTCGGTAATAAAATACTGTGAACACTACCTGATATTCCGCCCAGTGATGCAATAATATAATGTTGAATTTAAACAACTGTCATCTGACCCCCGCCACCACACTTCAATATTCAACATACTGGGGGACAAAAGAAGTCCGCTCTTGATGAAAGATTGACAAACCAGCCGCGTACTGATGATGCCTTAACCTTGACATTGTAATGCATTTTTAATACAATTTGCCGCGCGAGGGGGCTAGTTTATTGGGCACCCTCTTGCCTCCCGCCGCCCACCATCCGCACTCACTAGTCTTATAAGTGAATGTTATGTTATGATATCTGGGATTCATGATATAGCGTAGTAATCTGGATCTTATCTCAGTAATTGTGTGTGTTCATAATAATATTTGTGTTTATTTCACTAGAAGTTAATAAACTTAGTTGTCATAATATGTGATGACAGAACACAAAACGTAATCATAATATTAAAAGACGTACGCTCAGTAACAAATTCGGGACAATTACTCTCTATACAAATAGTGAAAATCATTAACTAATGGTCTTTAGCTAAGGTGGAGTGAGTGAGCTGTGTCTCACCAGTACATGTACACTTCTAACCTATTTCTGTCAGGTGTCGCGCGTCTGGCAGCCCAGCCAGCACGTCCCCTCCACCCCCCACCCAGGACGAGCGTTGACCAGGTCGCTGATGTCACGGAGACTACACCTGGCTGGAGTTCAGAGCCTCCCTTTTCTGTATGTTTATTCTAATATTATATATATGTATACAAGAAACAACAATCACAACCATGCAGTTTTAGCTTACTAAAAATATTAGGAAGTGTTCATAGAATGTTTGACAGGTGTCACACCGCCACGCCCCTCTGTTACTACTGAATTATATAGTAAGTGAAGGGTCACACATCAGTGACCAGAAGAACACTGTGCACGAGATGCTTGTCAAGTGCACTTCATCACCCTCACACCATCAACATTCCTCACCAGCATAACTTGCTCAGTCACCCCCAATAGAAAAAAACTCCACTTTACATGGCAGCAGCGTAACCGTGTGAAGTGGTTTATCTCAATGAACTGTATTAGGTAAATGTACCTCGAAGACAACGTCCCGAGGCCACATCCGTATTACTTATGTCTTCCACTTAAGTAAAACATAGTTACTAACACCATTATTATAACCAGGATTTATGTACTGCGAGTGAGCAAGATGTAATGTTTACCAATAATGTTTACCTGTCAGAAGCACTTACTTCACGCCCCCTTAACGGTAGGGAAAGGCGCCAAACCATCATCGTTTACTTTGATGAGAAAAAAGAAACTAGGCAGGGATAGCGAAGACATTCACGTGGGTACTTACCTATGAGAATGGCCCCCAGCACCTCGAATATAGTGGCTATGATGCACGCGTTCCGGAGACTAAGGACGCGGGAGCCCACAGACGTGCCGAAGGAGTTGGCTACGTCGTTGGCTCCCACGCCGAAAGCCAAGATGAAGGCAATGATGAAGCCCGCAATGACGAAGGGCAGCAGTTCGGGTGACCATGGCTCCATGGTGAGTGTGTGTGTGTTTCTTTTAATAAGTGAATACGAGGGTGTAGCAGAGGGGCTGCAGGTAGTTATAAACAACAGTAGTTTGAGAAGAGTTAATGCACAAGGGAACGATCGTTGGTGAGACTCAAGTATTGACTGGAAATGTCGTTAAGTAAATTGTTGCCCTTATTTACTGGGCGGGGATGTGTGCCTTACTGACAGGTAATACGAAGGTGACTACAAAATATGGAATGAAGGCGTGAACTAGTGGAGACTAAGGTGAGGGTGTGTGTCACAGGAGAGTGTGGGCGTGGCAAGAGCGAGCGATGGGGCAGCTCCAGGTGGAGACCTGTGGACAGAGTCACATATAAACAGGTGTGTCACTTACCAATAAGGACGGCGCCCAGGATTTCTGCCACAGTAGCGATGAGACACGCCTGCCGCAGCGTCAACACCTTAGCGCCAACACTCGTGCCGAACACGTTAGCCACATCGTTAGCACCCACGCCAAAGGCGAGTATGAAGGCCAGGATGAACCCAAGCACGATAATCCAGAGAGTTGAAGAGTGCCACTCAGCCAAGGAGGAGGAGTCCGGTAGGCTGGGTGCCAACGTGGTCGATGTGCTGAGGCCCAGGCCGGGGGTGTCAGCATACGCAGCCCCCAACACGAGGGCCACTGATAATAGTGCTACTACACGCATTGTCCTCTATACCGAAGTTAAGAGCAGAGAGAAACACAAGTTCAACACGAGCAAGTGAAGTCTCGGACCACGTGGGTCGGGCAAGAAGCGAGCGTGGTGTTGGCAGTCAGCTTACTAGCGGGACGAGTCACCAACTCTACTGCAACTGCCAGGCCTCCTCGCCTTTATATACACGGCCACCAATGACCACGCCTCCCCCTCTACCCTGAGCCCCGCCCCCTTAAGTGACCACGAGTCAGGCTCTTCCCAGGAACCACCACCACAGGTTACACTATACTCGTTCTCGTCACATGACCACCGGATACTCCCAAACTATCTACGTCAACTTGCCATTATGATGACATACGCAGCAGCCACAAGGACCCTAACCTGCAACACGGTTGTGACCTACATAGTCTTCTGGTTCAGAGCAGCTATCTTCTCTCGGCCCACCACACACATACACTACATCCCGCCTGGCTACCACCTACCTCAGCGGAAACTACTCAACCATCACAGTTCTGACAACCATACACACACGCAACACCTGTCAACACACGCGCGAGCGCGCACCACCTGTAACACCTGACAATCATACAAACCATCTGTACAGTGCTGCTGTGGTAGTGATACGTGACTCTTATGCAATGTGGTGTTGTGGTAGTGTTGTAACGGTAGTGTTACGGTAGTGTTGTAACGGTGTTGTGGTAGTGTTGTAACGGTGGTGTTGTGGTAGTGTTGTAACAGTGGTGTTGTGGTAGTGTTGTAACGGTAGTGTTGTGGTAGTGTTGTAACAGTGGTGTGGTAGTGTTATAACGGTGGTGTTGTGGTAGTGTTGTAACAGTGGTGTTGTGGTAGTTGTAACAGTGGTGTTGTGGTAGTTGTAACAGTGGTGTTGTGGTAGTGTTGTAACAGTGGTGTTGTGGTAGTGTTGTGGTAGTGTTGTAACAGTGGTGTTGTGGTAGTTGTGGTAGTGTTGTAACAGTGGTGTTGTGGTAGTGTTGTAACGGTAGTGTTACGGTAGTGTTGTAACAGTGGTGTGGTAGTGTTGTAACAGTGTGTTGTGGTAGTTGTAACAGTGTTGTGGTAGTGTTGTAACGGTGTTGTGGTAGTGTTGTAACAGTGGTGTTGTGGTAGTGTTGTAACGGTGGTGTTGTGGTAGTGTTGTGACGGTGGTGTTGTGGTAATTGTTGTTGTGGTAGTGTTGTAACGGTAGTGTTACGGTAGTTGTGGTAGTTGTTGCGGTGGTGTTGTGGTAGTGTTGTAACAGTGGTGTTGTGGTAGTGTTGTAAGGTGTTGGTGTTGTGGTAGTGTTGTAACGGTGGTGTTGTGGTAGTGTTGTAACGGTGGTGTTGTGGTATGTTGGTAACGGTGGTGTTGTGGTAGTGTTGTAACGGTGGTGGTAGTGTTGTAACGGTGGTGTTGTGGTAGTGTTGTAACGGTGGTGTTGTGGTAGTGTTGTAACGGTGGTGTTGTGGGTAGTGTTGTAACGGTGGTGTTGTAACGGTTGGGTGGTGTTGTGGTAGTGTTGTAACAAGTGTTGTAACGGTGGTGTTGTGGTGTGTTGTAAACGGTGGTGTTGTGGTAGTGTTGTAACAGTGGTGTTGTGGTAGTGTTGTAACGGTGGTGTTGTGGTAGTGTTGTAACGGTGGTGTTGGTAGTGTTGTAACGGTGGTGTTGTGGTAGTGTTGTAACGGTGGTGTTGTGGTAGTGTTGTAACGGTGGTGTTGTGGTAGTGCGGTGGTGTTGTGGTAGTGTTGTAACGGTGGTGGTGTTATAGTGTTGTAACGGTGGTGTTGTGGTAGTGTTGTAACGGTGGTGTAGAACGGTGGTGTTGTAACTGGTGTTGTAACGGTGGTGTTGTGGTAGTGTAACGGTAGTGTTGTGGGTAGTGTTGTAACTAGTGTTGTGGTAGTGTTGTAACTAGTGTTATGGTAGTGTTGTAACGGTAGTTGTGGTAGTGTTGTAACAGTGTTGTAACGGTAGTGTTGGTGCTCATCTGGCCACCTGGGAGGAAGATTCAACACAACCAATTATCCTAGTTGTAGGTGAAGGGACGCTCTCCTCCACACATGTACCTCTCCCTGGCCCGCTCTGCCAAATTGTACTGTGACCTCCCTCTGACATATGACTCCTGTTGCCTCATATTCCTGTTCTGTGAGCAAGTTGACCCCCCCCCCCCCACACTCCTACCAGCGCCGCCTCCCCTCTTCTCATTAACTTATTCCTCCGTTCACTTCCTCCTCACCTGATGGCTTCTCCCTTTCTTCCCATCCTTGATCTCTCCCGATTTTCCCTGACCTCTATCCTCCTGTTTTCCTGCGCCCTGGTGCTGGTTGGCCGTGACCTTGCTGCTCGACCTGCCCGGTGCTGGATGGGAGTTGACCCCGTGCCCAGTAAGTGACGAGGAACAACTAAACCATCACTACTACTACTACCACGACTATATCATCATCACCACCGCTAAAATCATCACTGCCACCATCATCACTACCACCATCACCACTATCACAACTACCACCATCACCACTACTACCATAATCACCACCACCATCATCATCACCACCACCACCATCATCATCACCACCATCACCACCACCACCACCATCATCATCATCACCACCATCATCACCACCACACTAGATTTCTGCTTCACACCATTAATTCATTTCCATCTTCCCCTCAGTCAATTCATACTACAATAATTACTATCGCTTTATTTAGTTGTTGAATGGGATCAGATAACAACATAAGAGGGTTGTTGGTGAGCAGCGACAGCCAGTGAGAACCAAATGAAGCCAGCTCCCCGACACTCAATAAGGCAGACTTAGGCAGGCGTATATCACCATCCTTGTGGGAAATATCCTGGGCACCTGTAACTTAATATATTAAAACATGAGGAATTTTATGAAAGAACTTATGATAAAAAAATATAATGAACATAATAATTAAAAGTTAACTGTAGGATCCATGAAGGAGTAGTTAACTATGATCTTATAAATGATCATTGATAAATGTCTAACAAACACTTAAGTCTATAATACAGTAAACAGATAATTATTAAAGCTTTGAGCAAGGTATCATCATCATCATCTCACAATATTGAAGTGTCAGCCTGTGTCACCACCCCACTCACCCTCTCACACACACATACACTCAGTTTCACCATGTTAGGATGCACGTTAATCCATACAAGTACCTACGAATATGACTAATAAATTATCAGTCACAGAGTACACAAAGTCTAGGCGTGTTTACCTTACTACAGGGTATTACTTTATGGCTGGGAGAAACAATGACATCACACACACACACACATACAGGGAGATATATATAATCCTTACTTAATGTCAGGTCAAGTATTAATGATGTCATGGATTTAAAGTGTAAAGTCTTCCCCCACTCCGACAGCCACACTTGGTAAGGTAAGGCAGCCCGGTTTCCCTTAAAACAGCGACTGATAGTAATTTGAAGCGCTTACAAAGAGTAGATAAGTAGGTAGATATGTAAATTTATTCAGTAAAACTTGCACGCCATTACTTAAGGTAGAAACTTTGGTGTTATTACGGATCTAGTAAAGACTGGAGATCCTGTTGTTAATAATAATAATCTAACATCCGGGAGAGTATGACACAATAAGTAATTAATTTAGCTATGTATCCACGGGGTCTCTCGTCTCAGTATCTCACTATCACCTCATCCCAGAATGGTATAGGGACGCTGCTGTCGTGTTTACAAACTATCACTCTTGACGCAACTCACTGCGCACTTGTCATCACCCGTCCAACATGATCCCTCATCCCCAGGTGCAGCGTACGTAAGAAAATTGGGGCACTCAGGTAAAGGAGGAGGGGGGAAGATAAAGAAAGTGGTAAGGGAGCAGAACGAGATATGTACAGTATAACTGGTGATTTTTATTTGTTGATAACTCGTGTATTTACAAACCTAATTGTCGAAACGTAGTAATACAATATCAACAAAGGGATGTAACAAGGTGTGTGTGTACTGTCAATGGGAGAGGGCGGCCCGCAGAGTACTGTGGCCAGAAGATAGAGAGAAGGTCACAGGTGAGGGAGGGAAGAGGAGGAGGAGGAGAGGTAGTGGCGGGTGAAGGCGAGAGTAATGTAAGACTTGTGTCGGTAAGGGCGAGAGGAAGTGGAGGAGGGCAGCGGCAGGTGTGGTGGAGGGCAATGGGGGTGTGGTGGTGAGAGGGCAAGGAGGGCAGGGGGGGTGTTGGTGGAGGGCAGGGGGGTGTGATGGTGGAGAGGGCAAGGCTGATAAGGTAAGGTGATGAGGTTACATGTGTGTGTGTGTGTGCTGCAGAGCTCCAGTGCAGCACGTAGACACACAGGTGAGAGCAACAGGACCCCCACCACGACACAACACCCACCTCACACTGCACGTTGCTCCACTTAACATTCAACTCCTACCACAGGATAATCTTCTCAATTAAGAGTATGACGTAGGCGATACAATGAAACATAACTATAAAACTATTAAACTGAGGCTGTGGACAAGTCTCCTCACCTAGTCTCTCGCGATGGCCGAGAATAAAATATTTCTCGAGAAGCCCAACCTAACCTAACCCAACCTAACCTAACCTAACCCAAAACCCTAACCTTGAACGAGAGACAAGGTGACGATATTTAACCGTACGATTAACCACAGA